CAATACGGCAGCCGATCGGGGCTTGGTATGCCGTTTCGTGATCGGCAGAGTCCTGCCAATCGACTGCCCTCAGAAAAAAGGACATTCATTTTTTCACGATTTTCGCAAAAAATCATGATGGTTACATCATTAAATTTTCAAAAAATCGGCCTCATTTTCAAAGTCGAGATTTTGATGCCGATCGACAGTCTGGATCCTCGCGATCCTGGGAAAGTAGGTCCTTCACCGATCTGGCCCTATATGTCAGAGATATAGCCACCCGAAGATTCGGATTTGCATTTCATTATAATACTGTTTTTTTCTGTACGCTTTATCTCTGTCTTCTTTATGGTCGATTTGTAGGACTCTCCCGATCGCGAAGATCACGAAAAGACTTGCCCCGCCCCGATCGGCCCATAAATATATCCAACGAAATAATGCAAAAGAGATCTGACGTCAAATGGTCAAAAACGAGAATTCAACAGCAAGCAACTTTAGCGACTGCTAAAAATCGTTGCATACTTTTAGGGGCGTTAAAACTTTAAAAATGAAAAAGAAACAGTGGCCTGGTACCAGAAAATCTGAAGATCTGAAAATATCGGTTTCGAGTGCCACCAAATAGAAAGTGGTTGTTGTTGTAATAACCGGATGTGGTTGTTGTAATATGTTTGTTATGGCATAAATCCGCCATTTCTTGTCCGATCGGAACGTGCGATGGCTACCTGCGATTGGAATAACATCCATGATCTGATGGAGTCATTATCTTGCACCAAAGATCAAGGATATTTTCTGAAGTCATATATCTGGCCGTTCCATATGTTCCTGTAATTGGACAAATCCTTTGGTATGGATTCAAACCACCCCACCCAGTCATATTTTCCAGAGTCTTTGCAAGGATAATTTTTCCATCATTTTATTCATCAAAACTTAGATTAGTATTAATGAATAAATAAGTGGAAAACATTTGTATCTATCTTAAGCCTAACAACAACTATATCTATCTTTAATCTGAAGCCCGCGTAGCCTTTCTCTGGTCTGCCATAGTCAAAGTTCTTGTTTTCAATGGCCAGGTCGAAGGAAGACGATGGCTGGTTAGGTTCGGATCTTGCAAGGGGACCGCTTCTGTCTTCTGAGAAAGGTCTCGGTCTGTCTGGAATTTGCCTCAGTAATTCTTGGTCAGGACTCCATCTGGCGGGGGGGAATCGGGTACGATTCGGTTTGTGGCACAACTATTTAAAACTATTAAAGCTCAAAGGAACTGCGCAAATTTAAAATTTTCCAAGTAGATTCCTTTATTCAATTGAAATTTATAAAGCGTCCAACATACATACATAGCTTCCAAAATCGTTTCTGGTTCTGAAATGATTTCAAAGAAAAAAATTATTTCATTAGGATATTTTCGCAGCGTCATTCCAGGTCTCGAAATGAAGCATGAAGAAAAAAAATGAATATGAAGAAGTCAATTTTGTTACATGATTGATAGAAAGGTTTTCCAATGTTCCGAACTTTACTGTGTTTACTATAACAGATTGGAACCATCCTTCCATCCTTGGACTGTGTATCAATGATTCGGAATGAATATATTGATACCTTGATGAGAATCAAATTGATATAGTATAAGAGCACATTCAAATCAGGGTAAGAAATTGTATCTATAGTGAGTATATTCACAATGTAAATTTTCTCCGTTTAAGGTTGTTCATTATTGTTGGCGGAACATCTTGTACGAGTATCTTTAAATGATTGCCAGGGATAGCAATTCATAACGAGACCCATTTCGAGGGGAGCTGCCATTACGAGGATTCCCAGAGCTCTTTACAAATATTCCCCTGTGTCTTCGGGCCTGCGGTCTTCCTCTTCATTGTTTTTCCGGGGATTTTCTTTCGTTCCCAATTCGTTCTTTGCTCTTCGCTTTCGGGCCGTTGCCCTAATTAGGAACATCAATTGGCCATTTAAGCAATAATAAGCGAAAGCGTCAAAAACTGAGTCGCGGGCAGTGCGCGGGGACCTTTTGTGTGGCAAAAATATAAATTGCAAGCAATTTGTGCCATTAATTTTCCATTTCAAATTAGCGCAGAGTGGCCCGAGGGCGGACTGGAGCCGGGAACGAGGATCCGAGAGTAGGGGCACGGCCAAGGGATATGCGACAATTACGGGCTCCGCTCCTCAAGATTAAATGCCGAATGCTGAAGAGAAAAAGACAGCCAGGATTCCTTCGTTTCCCAAGCATTTGCATTCCTGTGGCCAGGGTTTTCCCCACCCACACTTCAGGGCGTCACTTCAGGAGCCGCAACACGAGGGATCTGCTCCGGAACAGAATGAAATCGAAGGAAATGGGATGGGTTAGGATGACTGGAATGAGATGGGGGCACGGCTAGACAAATTGCATAGGCAACCGGCTTGCTCCGATATACCCTTGGCACTGCTGCCCTTCTCTTTGGGACTGACTTTGATTAAATGCGTGTTCGATCTGAAAATGATTTCATTAATTAAAGGCGCCGCCACCTTTTCCGATTTTAGCTTTCAGCAGCACCCACTGCCAGCGGCTCACATAATTATAAATTATTTTTGGCTAAAAGCTATTTGACCTCGTTTCGCCATTATGGCCGCCGACTTTGAGGACTTTATTCGTTTTCCGCTTTGTCATGTCTCCATTGAAGTTGTATCTCAGATCTGTCGACAGCTAATTAAGCCGGGGGCAAAATAGGAATGATATAAGAATAATATAAATAAGCAAAGATGTCCGTGGAAAGCAATCCTAAGCGAACTCTTGAGCGAATAAAGTAAGCAGCCATGGGCGAAATCGAGGGAAGATAAACGGAAAGTCGATTAAATTTTAAGATGTTTGGTCCAATGATAATGAATTCATTGGGTATCTGAGCAGAAGATGAATTGCCGCCAGGTGGGAGCTAACGAATCGAAAACGTTTCCATTTCTTAATATTAAGCAACACTCAGAAGCGCTGATGATGGTAGATGGCAGACTAGACCCTTTTCCAATTACATAAATCATTCCACAACAGGAACTCCAGTCTGCGCGCACGAATCTCCAAGGAAGAGGCTTCAAAAGTAGAGGCCACAGAACTGCCGCCAATTCAATACCTACTTATCCCACATGATTGCACTTCAATCATTGCGGGAGCCGGCTACCGACTACCGACTGCCGACTACCAGCTGTCGACTGCGGACTGCCACTCCGTCATGAGGAGGCCGACTAGCCGGCAAACAAGACTAATTAATTTCACTTTACGTGACTTGCATGGCCAAGGAGTCCCTGCCAGGGATCCGAGGGGAGGAGTACCATGGAATTATGGCACATTATGTCGGAGTATTGGAAGTGCTAAGAGCTTCCAGCAAAGAAATAATTAAATGACCATTTAGCTCAAAGACTGACGGATGGGCGTCCGAGATGTGGAGTAGTCCGTTAGTGCCGTGGCAACACAGGGCCTACAGCCAGACCACGGCCATGCACTGCACTGCACTGCACTGCCGGGCTGCCTAATGCAGTTTCAGTACGTACGATGAGTAAACGGGTTCGTGCCTCAACTCTGGCGTTAAATCGATTGAAATTAATCATACGACATGTGGGCCCCATTCGCAGGGCCTCCGCCCGGCGTGTGCGAAGTTGCTGGCATTCGTTGGTCCTAATTTGATTTGCAAGCTGCCAGTTTTGGAATGAGCTTGGGGTGTCAGATTCATGAATACATTGCGCACTTCATTAGATTGTTAAATATACTCAGCAGAGTGCCGAAAATTTGCTTATGTTCCACCAGGGCCATCAGCAAAAGCGAACAGCGCGAGCACCAGCAATTTATGAATAAATCGCCCCGAAAATAGACAAGAATCGGGGCGAAAACTTCATCAAACTGGCAACAAAAGTAATAATAATGTGCCGGCAGCCACAGCCACAACCACAACCACAACCACAACCACTGCCACAACCACTGCCACAGCCACAGCCGCAGAGTAAACAATAATAATAACACTAACAAAGAAAACACCGCTGCAAAAGAAAACACCAAGGTGAATTTATGTTTTCAGAGTGGGTTTTGGGTGAGAGTCGGCGGGGCCACGAGAGCACACAGAAAGATTTTAAAAGCCAACAATGGCAACAGCTTACCGAACAAAAACAGAAATAGATAAGAGTCGCGCTCGAGTGAAGTGCCAGCCCCAGCGACAGGACACTACCCACCCGCCCAGCATGCCCCAGAAAGGTTCCACCAAGGTGTGATGTGATAGAGAGTGAATGGCAGATGGCAATACTCGTATTCTGTTGAGCTAATCATAGGACTCTCTATTTGTAGGTATACCCTTTTAAAGTACAATGACGGCTAGACATATATCTGAGACTGTTAGCAATAAAGGAAGTAATAAATAGAAAATAAATAAAGACAGAGAATTGTTTGGTTTCTTTGCTTCTTCTGATCTTCTATAAGATACATATGTACACAATATTAATAGTTTCCATAATAAAATAGGTCCCACGCTGCAGGGGAGAGATGGAAATGCCGTTTATGTAAATTACTCACCAATCAGTCATTATAGTATAGATGGCCAAATCGGTCGCTAGATCATTACTGTCTACCGTCTGAAGCCACAAAGTATATAAAGTTCTTACACTACTAGCGAACCGTTAAAAAGGAATATTCTTTAAATTACATTCATACTCGAAGAAGTCATTGCGTTTATTGTATATAGTTATTCACAGACATATGTATGGATTTCTTTCACAAATCTTAAGCTTGTTTTGTGAAATTTGTATAAAAATATAAAGAGTTTTGGTGCGTCAGACATAAGTATATACAAAAGAACATATTTCGTGGTAGAAATACTTTGCTATTTTGTGAGATAAAAGTAGTGCTACTCGCTTGTACTGTAAGCGGTATTTGTGACTGACTTAAACAAGAACTAGCTACAAACAACGTCTAGAATTATAAAAAAAAAATTAAATATTATTCTGCCTTGCGAACCAGTTATCAGAAGAAAGAGGACAAGTATAGGATGACAAGATGCAGACACAAAGCCAAAAAATAAATACAAAATTTAATCTTCGGGCCCGAAGCCTTTCAGTTCGTTGGTTACAATAGGGGCTACTTGAAATACTAATCAGATTGTATGTTATTGGGTTGAATTATGTAAAACAACGCGAAGTGTTGAATGATATTGGATAAACACATGGTTGGGCGCTCCGATCTTAGCGTCTAGAATAAAATAAGGCTCTCTTCGGGGCAGTTAACCGACGGAAACAATTTGGCTGTTAATTCTGATCAAGAATATATCGAATATACCGGTATTGAAAGAATTTCTTCAAAATCAATGGAACCTCTGCAAGGGTATGACAAGATTTATCTCTTTGGCATTTGCTCTCTCTCTCTCTCTCTATCATCCGCTTAACCTCTGCTCTCTAACCGTGTACTTCCATCCTCTCTTTGATTCTTTTGCTTTTCTTTCCACTTTGTCCGTTTATCTGAAGCTTAAGTTAGACTTTGGCTGCGACTCTGGCTCCGTTCTCTTTCTTCTCCTCTTTCTTCTTAATCTTCTATGCTTGACCTACATTCTAACGACTATTAGATAACATAATCGAATAACTGTTCGGGCAACAGCATGTATCTTCACTTTTGTACACTTAACTAACAGACTTGAATGCAAACAAAAGAGCAGTGTGGCACTCAAATTAGCACTGACTCTTGCTCTCACAGTGTGTGAGCATAAGGTGAGGCATTCGCAGAGCGTGCTCACACCTGCAGACAGCACGAGAGAGTGGCGCACGTCTCGAGGAGGCAGACTGCCAAAACCCCACCTTGCACTAACACACCTTGCGCTTTTTCTAATTTTTTTTTTTCGCGGCTTAAAGTACTAAGAGCGATCAAAGCTTTTGGTAGCGGGGGGGCTATACTGTTTGGGTGGCCACATCCCGTTGACGGCTGCGTAGATAGTGGGCATAAGCCTCCAGGCCGTTGATGCTGAAGGCCGTCAATCCAAAGAACTGCAACAGAGAGAAGGAGGTGGACTTTAGCGTCGGAATAGGCTTTGAAAATCAAGCCAAAGGCAAAGAGTATTTGAGCCAGATGAGGCACTCTAGCCGCAGTCCCATACAGAGACTGTAAATACACCTTGCACTGGGGTGCTGGGGGCTTACCGCTGCTGCCGTATAGGCCCCAATGTCCAGAGAGAGCACCAGCCCCGAGGCCACAAAGTACGACACCGCCAGCGTGGAGTGGACACCGAGAGACCAGACCGTTGAGTCGCATCGACTGAAATAACGTTGCCACAGACGCAGGTAGCGGGCAAGCAGCAGCGCCAGAGTGGCCGTGAATCCCAGCGCCGCCACGACCAAGTAGAAGCTGCCCCGAAAGTTGCTCACTCGCACCGGGCCGCACAGAATGAACAGGAAGCCGATGAAGCTGCTCAGCTGGAGGGAGAGAGAGAGAGACACAGAGAGAGAGAGCTTTAGAGTGGGGCCAATCTGTTGGATGGAAGTGGAACGGAACTTACCATGCAGGCGATCTTGCAGATGCCCCCCATGCTGCGCACATACTTCCGATCGTAGTCCTGGCTGGCGGACATAATGGACATTCCAGCAAAGGCACAAAATCGACAACGAAACGAAATAGCAACTCGATAAGGTTTCAACGACGACAGCCCGGCGAAAATATTTTCACATTGCGCGCTCACGGGCACGCACAGAACGCCACTGAACGCCACTCAGAACGATTTTGTGTGCTGGACGACGCGACGTCGGAAAAAAGGCCATAACAAAAACTACAATTGTGAGCGAGAGCGAGAGAGAGTGAGCGCCCCGAGTGGGGGAGCCTAGAGGGAGAGCGTTGAGTGAGAGAGCCCAGAGGCAGAGCACCATGAAGGTCTTGAGCGGGCGGGAGAGCGCTCTCCAGCCCAACTGAGAGCCAAACCATATGGCACAGTGGGCCAATCTCAGCTGAAATGGTACCGAAAATCAACTGGTGGCTCTGCCACTGGATCCCCATCAACGGACGCTCATTGTGTTTGTGTATTAAGAGTTGTGTACAATGCATTTTACAATCAAAAAGGAAATTTATTATAATAGGGTGGGGTAATTATTTAATTAATTTTTAATGCATGGCTACTGTTTTTGCGACTCCTTGGCTGGTCTCCCTCTGGGTGATGTAAGCAGCAAGGGCGTGACTCACTCACTGGAGGAGGCCTCCCTCTCACCAAGCATAATCGTCCCACTGTGCAATGACGGTTTCGCTCTGTTGAGCGATAATATCTGAACTCAACTCTATCTCTTCAACCCAATTCGATTCATATGCGGGTTCGACCTTATCATTAAAGTAGAGAGAGAGTGAGTAGAAGAGGGAGAGAGCGGGTGGGTGGGAGAGCCGCTGTCCGATCGCTTAGTGTTATCGTATCTGTTCGTTAATTGATTGAGAAACCAAGTACGTAATCCCCCGCAACGCTGTTGGTGGATCTGGTGATGTGAGGCCACAGTGCTTAAGCAAATGAGAGAATCAAAATGAAATGCACTTGCAGCGTGATTCATGCCACACGTCACACAAAAGCACAAACAGAGAGGCAGGCCCCGAAGATGTGAGTTGCAAGCAGCGAACAGTGCATACCCTTCTTCAATCTTGACCAATTTAATGGGGTACATTGTGGCTGAAAACAGCACATATGCATAATAGATTTCCATTCCCCGACGATACATACGTAGACATGATTTTATTCCGCAATCAATTCTTCTGATATCGTGGGTAGTTTGACCACAGCAGAGATATAGATATATCTATAGAGTTGCTGGTGGGTTCCACTACTTTGACCGCAGCTGTACATCTTTTTCTGTCTCTGGCACATGTTCAACTTCCTCGCAGTTCGTTGATAACCCCGAGGAAAGTAGGGCAGATCGAAACACATTCCTACGTGACAGAAAATCAAGTTATATTAATTGATTCATATGGGTGAATGGGGAGGGGGGAATGGGTGCCCGGTTCGTGATGGTTCAATGGAAAGATTACGGGTTGAGAGGTGGGTGGCTGGGTGGCTGGGTGGTCCACTCATTCCGCCCAAGGCCGCAGGGACAATTGCTTGCCGTCAAATTCAGATGCGGCATGGCAGGAGACAAATGGGAAGAGAAACGTCAGAAATACTTAGAGAAGGAGAGGCATACCCACACCCGGTCCAATCCAGAGATTTGCACTGTAACCAGAGGTCTTCTGGGCGGAAATGGAACTAGGCACAACAACAGACAGGAAATGACAGAAAGCAAAGTGTGAACATAAAACATAATCACAGCGAAAATTGAGCTGGAGCCGGACTCAAAGCGAATTATTGTCTAATGCCGACTCAAACAAAATGCACTTGAGCAATTTATCAGAGAACTGCACAGAGAAGAGCGGCCTCTCGCGGGTAATACGAACATGAAAGAAAAAACGGCATGGAAATCCATGAAAAGCTTGTTTGAACGAAGCGAATTCTAAAAATAGATGTGAGTCCTCTTATTGCTTTTGGAGTGGAACGCGATTCACTCAGCGATAAACAAGAAATCATAATCGAGAACGTGAATGCGCAGTGGGGCTGATGCGAATGGTGTCCACTCCAGGGAATCGTGTGACTGGGATTGGGCGAGGGAATCGGAGAGGGAATGGAATTGGAATGGAAACAATGTTGATTACATCGACTGTACCATTGTGAGAGCCGGGAGAGCGCTCTCCTTTCAGTCCCTCAAGCGGACATCACCGTGGACCATTCGGAACATGACCCAATTAACCTTCGATCCCATCTTGAGAGCCAAGTGGTGGGTCTTTTTCAAAATCGAACCAAACACAACCGAAATTTGATTTTGCTAATTCGAATAATGTATGGAAGTTTTTTCCAGTCCATGATTCATGCACATGACTGAGCTCTCGCTGGCATGCAACTCGAAATACCCTGAGTGTGATGCCCCGCCCCTACTATCGTTTTCCACGCATGCCACGCATCGCAGTAGGGGTGTGGGTGGGATCTGGGGGAGTGCATCTAATCAGAAAAGCAGTCGCAGTAATTGGCAACTGCTGCATCAGCGTGTTTTTGTTTGCTTTGGCAGGAACCAGGAGACGTGGCCAGGACCATGATGATGGGGTTTTCCCTGCGCTTAAGCGATGACAAACTTCCTCATTGCCGCAGAATGGATAAACTCTGGTTCTGGCTTGCCCAATTAGTGGATAGATAGTGTCGAAAGAAAGTAGAAAGTTGGGGATCTTTCGCTGGCTCTGGCTCCTTCTCTGAGGACATAATTAATTATACTATTCGACCAGCTGTGGAAGTCATTTCTCAAGGCGATAGGAAGAGTACGAGAGAGTCAGTTTTGCCAGAGACGGGCATCGAAGACATAAAACAACAAAGCAACTGGCAGCTTGGTATCTGTCAAATACACGCACTTCACACTCCATTCTGCACCGCGCCCCAAACTCCATTCGAATGCAAATTTCGTGCACTGACAGTCAGGACGATCCAGTGGCCAGACTCTGCAGCTGACACGACCAGCAGCCCCCGAAGAAACCCCCGTAAGACAGCAGCCCTCGAAGAAACCCCTGTAAGACAGTTCTCAGCATAATTCCAACGACCTCAGCATATCTGCCAAGTGAATTTGAATCTGAGTTTTTCCTCTCCCTCGGCTGCTCCATCTTAATGTTGTTTTTTATGTGATTTTTTTCATTCCTCTGTGAATTGTGCGCATGGTGTGGCCGACAGCCGCCATCTGCCCAGGGCTGTCCCGCCCAGAACTCAGACCCCAGACCCCAGACCCCAGACCCCAGACCCAGAAAACCCCCATCAAGAACGAATGACAACAAAGTCGCAGCAAACATTTATGCGCCTTATAAATGATTATCGTGTGTACTCAAGTGCCATCGTCATCAATCAAATGGACCAACTGCAACAGGATGCCATTCCATTTCCATCCCCGACGAGTATTTGCACGACTATCTGTCTCTGGTCTTGTTTGCATCTCTTAAGGATACGAGTATTGCATGAAAACTGAATAATAACTCTCGTTAAATCCGTCTTCCTTCCATCAATGAACGAGAATGTACTTCAGCACATTGATAGTGACATAAAATACATAGTGTCATTATTTTCATGCAGTAGGAGGTTGCGCTCTTTTGAAATGATTTCTTATAGAGAAAAGCAGAGAATAACAAAAATTACTTTCAAATCTTTTAAATATGAAGATGCCTTTCGTTGCAATGTTTCATAATTGTCTTCCCGTATCGAAAGTCTGAGGAAAGGGCATTCGAACTTCGGTTCCTCTTGCGCCGCCTTCGTGTTATTTATGCTAATGAATTGCTCCCCGTTTTGTCCGATTACTTTCGCCGCCAATCAATCTATCAATCAATCAATCAATCAATTGCTGGCCCACCAGGTCGAGAGCTGCAAGGGGGGGGCACAGCTCATTAATGGCATTGGCGCGATAGATCGATGCAGTACTCGTCTATAGGTACATAGGTCTCTCCTGTCTCAATCAATTTCAAAAATGTTGAGTTTCAAATCAATTTAATTGGCATTTTATTGGCCCTGTCCACCCAACCCACTGACTCCGAGCGTCCTCTCCCTTTTGTATCTACTGCTGGCATCTTCCTGTACTTCCGCTTTCGCTCATGCTATCTTCTATCTACTGCTCCTCCAGGTTCTGTAATCTGTATCTTCTTCCTCGCTGATTCGGCTGCGTTCGCACATTTTGCAGCAAGCAATTTTCTCAGCGTGATTTTTGATGAACTGCCTGGGAACTGACTGGGAACTGCCACGTCCGCCGTCCGGTGCAAGCTGCATCGCCAGGATTTACGACTGTTGTTACTCCAAGGCGATATTTGGCACTTATGTAAGTGCTCTGTGAGCTTGTAGTTGGCCCTGCTCTGAAAAGTTGTCTGCCATGAGCCCAGGAAGTGTTATGCCCTCCCCCGGGGCGCTCCTCCAGGGGCCAGGTAACGAGCGAGAAAATATATTTTCAATTGAGAGCGTGCCAGCATAGATTGCGTCCAAGTCCAACGCCAAGTCCATCTGACAGTGGAAGTCGGAGGAGGAGTGGCGGAGTGGCGGAGTGGACGGTCACGTAGACCGCTGCCACGTAGTCAAAAAAGCCAGGGGGAATTCACGTTTGCATGTGAGATGCGGAATCTATTCGGGATGCACTCGGGGAAACGCCACCAAGAATCAGAACTCGATTTCCCAATAAATGATAGATTTTAATAAACGAATGAAAACGGGGTCTTAGACAGATGGAAGCATTTTAAGCGCCTTCCAGTGGAAGTGTGTGCTTTCTCTCAGTGCATGATGTAGTAACGGAGACCCAGCAGACATCTGTCCTGCTTGCTATGCAGCTTGCATGTCCTTGATTGCGTTGTGATTTTTTGGTTTTGGGGATTTTCAGTTATTAAACGAGTCATATGTGCTGGTGATAAATGTTATTCAGGCTAAATGGAGAGCCGGCTGACTGATGGCGCCCCCCTTGAGTTTGGCTGAAGAGGGATAATGAAAGTCACGCGCTGCGATTGATCGAGGGTGTCGCACCCTCCGGCTCTGACTGGCTGCAGCAAGGATCCTTCTTGGCGGCCAGGTCCAGCTGCGGCAGCTTTGGGATTGGATTGCAAAAGTAATATCCATGCGACATGCAGAGATGCAGAGATGTGTGCGCTGCTCTCCGGAATCCGATCTGGCAGC